TGATTTAGGCAAGCCTATGTTCCAAACGAAACTTAGTACCAACTTTATTTTATTTCTTTAAGGAAATAATTAACAATTAATTAGTACACTTTGTCTTTGCTTACTTCACTCATTTTCCTAGAAACATACTATCAGAAATTAGGTTATTAAGAGTTCAATATTTACCCTTATAAGTATGATAACCCACTACATATTGACTGTATAACGTCTCAAATGAGTATCAAATGCACAAGTAAATCTTTGAATATTCTAAATTTTATGCATTTGATCATTTAGTTTACTCACCAGTGTTCCTTTATTCATAATCAACAGAAAAATTTAAATATCTATTCCTCGTGCACTTTTCAAAGCAATCCTTATTCTTTAAGGAACTTTCCTGTTTATTTCCTCATTAAACGTAATTCTCTTCAATGTTGCAAAACATTGTCATAAAACTTATGTAATTAAGGTTATTCCTACTTTTCCATTTTACCTAGAGGAACAAAATTTGAAATTGATAATGCATTGTTCTCTAATAAATCAAAGAGAAATCTACTGAGTTTTAAAGATATACGTTGCAATGGTTATCATATTGAGACTGATAATAACAAAAATAATATAGAATATCTCTATACTATATCTATTGTCTCACATGAGAAACGTATACTAGAAAAGTTGCTGCTTTATCTTCTGGATTATATTATACTCGTATACGAGTAATTGAAACATATGCAACAATGAACCTTAAGTTCATGAATCCATATATATTTACTATTTGGCATGACCAGTTAGGTCATCCTGGGCCTTTAGTGATGAGAAGAATTATTGAAAATTCAAATGAACATCCATTGAAGAACCTGAAGATTCTTTAATCTAATGAATTATCATGTGATGCTTGCCCTCAAGGCAAATTAATCATTAGACCATCACCAGCTAAAGTGGGGACTGAATCACCTATGTGTTTAGAAAGAATTCATGGTGATATATGTGGACCCATAAATCCACCAAGTGGACCCTTGAGATATTTTATGGTATTAATAGACGCATCGAGTAGATGGTCACATGTATGCTTATTATCAAGTCGAAACCTTGCTTTTGCAAGTTTACTTGCTCAAATACTAAAGCTACGAGCACAATTTCCTGATTATATAATTAAGAGCATTCGTCTTGATAATGCTGGTGAATTTACATCTCAATCATTTAATAGTTATTGCATGGAAATTGGGATAAGTTTTGAACATTTTGTAGCTCATGTTTCGTACACAAAATGGTTTAGCATAATCATTTATAAATCGATTGCAGTTAATTGCTAGACCATTACTTATGAGAGCAAAGCTTCCTACATTTGTATGGGGTCATGCTATTGTGCATGCAGTGTCACTTGCACGCATTAGGCCAACAATCTATCATAAGTACTCCCTGTTACAATTAGCTTATGATCAAGAGCCAAATATTTCCCATCTGAGAGTTTTTGGATGTGCAGTATGTGTTCCAATTGCTCTACCATAACGTATTGAGATGGGTCTTCAAAGGAGGTTAGGAATATATGTTGGATTTGATTCCCCGTCAATTATTAGATTTCTTGAACCCTTGACAAGTGATGTATTTACTGCACGATTTTCTAATTGTCATTTTAATGAGACAAGTTTTCCAATATTAAGGGAAGGAATTAAGAAAGTTGGAAAAAGAAATTACATGGAATGCATTATTATTGTCTCATTTAGATCCCTGTACGGAACAATGTGAACTCGATGTTCATAAGATAATTCATTTGCAAAATATAGCAAATCAATTACCACATGCATTTATAGATACTAAGAAAGTGACCAAGTCATATATACCAGATGCAAATGCTCCATCGAAAATTGATATCCCAACGCGGCAAATTGTCATAACTAATGAGTCTACGACACGCCAGAAGCGTGGTAGACCAATGAATTCCAAAGATAAAAATCTCGAAAAAGAAAAGTAGTCAATGGTCAAAATGACTCAAATGATAATGTGGATATTCTAGGAGAAATCCAAAGTATGACTACTCATAAAGATATTGAGAAATATCAAGTATCTGAGGATAATAATGAGATCCCAATAAACTATGTCATGACAGGAAAAAGATGGAAACCGAGCTAATGTAGTTATTGACAATATGTTTGCTTATAGTATTGCTCTTGACATTGTATCTGAAAATGAGGATTTTGAACCAAAATCTATGGAAGAATGTCGACAGAGAAAGGATTGACTTAATGGAAAGAAGCAATCCACGCAGAATTAAATTCACTTCAAAATGTGAAGTCTTTGGACTAGTAGTCCGAACACCAGAAGGCATTAAGCCTGTGGGTTACAAATGGGTAGTTGTAAGGAAAAGAAATGAAAATAATGAAGTCACAAGATATAAAATAAGATTAGTTGCGCAAGGTTTCTAGCAAAGACCTGGTATTGATTAGGGGAGACATATTCACCAGTGGTGGATGCAATGACACTGAGATATTTAATTGACCTGACTATGTTTAAAAGTCTTGACATGCATCTTATGGATGTAGTAACAACATTTATATGGATTTCTCGATAATGATATATATATATATATATGAAAATCCCTGAAGAATTTAAGGTACCTAAAACGTATAATCAAAGTTCTTGAGAACTGTATTCAATAAAGTTACAGAGATCATTATATGGATTAAAACAATCGGGGCGAATGTGGTACAATCGCCTGAGTGGATATTTGTTGAAGGAATGATATCAAAATAATACAATTTGTCTGTGTTTTTATAAAGAATTGCAGTCGGGATTTGCCATTATAAGTGTATATGTTGATGTTGAATATAATTTGAACTTCTGAAGAGTTTTCAAAGGCAATAGAATATCTTAAGAAATAATTTGAGATGAAAGATCTCGGAAAAACAAAATTTTGCCTTGGCTTGCAAATTAAGCATTTATCATATGAGATATTTGTCCATCAGTCTACCTATACAGGAAAAGTTTTTTTAAAATGTTTTATATGGACAAAGCACATCCATTGAACATATGGAAGTTCGTTCACTTGATTTGAAGAAAGATATAGTTCAACTTCAAGAAGATAATGAAGAACTTCTTGGTCCTGAGGTACTATATCTTAGTGCAATTGGTGCAATTATGTATCTTGTTAATAATACAAGGCCAGATATAGCCTTTTCGGTAAATTTATTAGCGAGATTGAGTTCTTCTCCAACAAAAAGACATTGGAATGAAATTAAGCATATACTCCATTGTCTCCGAGGAACAATTGATATGGGCTTGTTTTATTCTAACAAATCAAATTTTGATCTAGTTAGTTATGCAGATGCTCGATATTTATCTGATCCACACAAAGCTAGATCTTAAACAGGTTATCTATTCATATGCAGAGGAACAGCTATATCATGGCGATCGGTGAAACAGACAATAACAACTACCTCTTCAAATCATGCTGAAATTCTTGCAATTCATGAGGCCAGTCGGGACTAAGATCAATGACTTAGCACATTTGTGGAATGTGTGGCTTGTCTTCTAAAAATCTTCCAACAATATTATACGAAGACAATACAGCATGTATAACCCAAATCAAAGGAGGATATATTAAAGGGGATAGAACAAAGCATATTTCACCAAAATTTTTCTACACTCATGATATAGAAGAAAATGACGACATCACCACACGACAAATTTGTTCAAAGGATAACCTGGCAGATACATTTATGAAGGCATTTCCTACTGCAACATTTGAAAAATTGGTGCACCACATTGGAACGCGATAACTCAGAGATCTTAAGTGATGTTTCCACGAGGGTAGCAAATATATTGTAATCCTTTTGGATTTATTAAAATTATATGAAATATGTACTATTTTTCTTCATTATGATTTTTTCCCATTGAGTTTTTTCCTAGTAGGATTTTAATACATATATCGTATAAATAATGAGCATCTAAGAGGGAGTATTGTGAATCTAGACGTCCATATACCTTCTTGTTGCCTTGGTGTCAAGCACAGGCCAACACACTATTCATTAGAACACTTGTTGCACAATCAAGATAACACATGTTATGCCTAAAAGGGGTGAATTCTTTATGTAAATGACACCCCAAATAAGGGAACAGTTATGTTACACTTTCTCTCTCAAATACGTAACAAAATCAAGTGGAAATTCTCCTAAAATTTTATCTATACTTTAATTTTATTTCTTGGAAATTCATTGGGTTGGTTCTATTTCTCAATTTTAGAACAGTTTTAAAATTTTGATTCCATTTTATATATTTTCGATTTTCGATATATTAACCCTTTCCTAGTTTCCTTTTTAAGTTTCAAAATCTATGCAATTGGATATTTTATTTATTTGTTATTTATTATTATTATTTTCTGATAATATATATACATATTTCTATTATTATTATTATTATTATTATTTTGAGAGAGAGCCTTGGATATTTAATTTTCAAATTTCGATTCCAAGGAATTAGATATTTTAACTAATTCCTATGGAAAATTAGTGCTTGATTAAGGGCATGAGTCCAACTTTAATTGGTCTATCTATCGGTCATTAATATCTTCACTAGTTTCATTATTTCTCTAACTTGGATTCTAGAAAATAATTAATTTCACCCCTTTAAATAACTAACCGATCAATTTGATGTAACTAAAACTTCGACATAAACAAAAAAAAAAAATCATTTTAACATAATAACACTAAGTCAACACTAAAACACCAATACTCTGCAACAACAAAATAATAATAATAATAATAAAGTCAATATCTAGTTATCAGCAAATAATCAGAAGTATCCAATGAAACTATACATCAAAAAGCAATCAAATGTATCTCAAAAAAAAAAATCAAATGTAGCTATTCTTGAACTTGTATGACTCAGGAAATAATAATTTCCATAAAGTTTGGTTTCCTTTTCTTTTCTTTTGTTCCTTTCTCCTTTTCATATTAAAAAAAAATATAGAAACTGCCCATCAATGGACCCTAAAAATGGGGAACCATAGATTTTTCTTTTTTGTTTTTTTTTTTTTTATGGATTTACCAAGAACTTGGTATGTGCAAGAAGAAGATTTTCTGTTCTTGTGTTGAATTGATTCTGTCTCTTCTAAACTGATGTGGTTTGAGGCTTCTGCAACTTTTCTTCTCTATACAGCAGCCTCCTCTTCTTAGAACTGTATCCTTGGTACTTGTATATGACGCTGTACACACATTGCCTCAGAGACATAATGTCGAATGTCTCGATGAATTGTAGATCCGTCGTCCTCGACTTCATGCCTGCGAACCTCTGGTACTCCTCAAACACCGAAGTCAAGCACCAGTTCTGAAACTTTCTTAGACAGCCAACGAGTGACCCGGTTCGGTGCTGCAGTGATGATGAAGAGAAATGCTTTAGCAAAACAGCGAAGCCAGGAAGGAACCTTCCTTCTTTCTATGTTCTAAACTAGCAGCAGCATTGGCTATTATGACAATCTCAATACAGTTTTTTGGATTTTATTCCTAATGATACAACTTCTAATTCTCCCCCTATAGCATAAGAGAACTTATATGTATAGCCCATTCGATAACGTTTTGTTTTTGGTTTCCTATCTTAGCCAAAAAAGTAGTATTCAAAAACTTATTTTTTCATTTTCGGCTATTATTTCGAAGAATGTTCTAAAAGATGCAGAACTAAGCAAAGAAAACATCAGGGACTCCGACTCGTTTTTGGTGGTGTATAACGCGATTGAAAAGCTCTCTTTGTAAATTGTTTGGGAGAGAATGATCTCCACCCTCTACCCTTTGGTTGTTTCCTCTTTTTGTAATTAATACATTTCCGTTTCTCATGAAAAAGTAAAGAACTAACTAATTTACACAAGCCTATTTCCCAAAAACAGAAAACCAAAAACAAGACGATCATCAAACGGGGTTAAGATTGAGAATTTTCCAACACAGTAAACAGCATGATATAGGATTAGAGGATTCTACCTTCCCACGCTTGCAGTGGATCAAAATGGGGTGATTCCTAACATCTGAAAACACAAGATAAACAACAAAAAAAGTAAAAGAGATGAAATCTGAAAAGGATTAAATAAACAAGAACAAGAAGCTCAGCAAAATCAAAACTGAAATCCAAACACTCTGAAGGGGTTTTCTCAGTACCAATTAGGATTTTCAGAGCCTCCAGGATATCGTCCTTCGGAATCGAAACATATGGCTCCTGCAAGCCAAGTAATCACTGATCATAACCAGCAATATACGTATATAACACAATTGAGTTATATCATTAGAAAACTTTTGCAATTTGAGGGATGATATGGAATTCACATATGAGTACCTTTTTCCCTTCAATTTTGAATTGAAAGAGCTTAATGTTATTAGCTCTAAGAAACTCCAGATTCTCCTCTGGGTAGGGTTCAGGACACAAATATCTGATTCAATCAATCAATCAAATCAGATTCTCAATCAAGAAAGAACCAACAAACAAAAATTCACAGAAAAGAAAACAAGAAATCTCAATCTGTTTGTCTATGGGGAAAAGAGAGAGACTAATAGTAACAACAACAAATTTCGAATTCCAAATTCCAAATTCCCAAAATTCACAGAAATCAAAAGCGAAAAAGAACAGAGACAATGCGAGGGCAGGCAGAAGGCGGGATTACAAATTAGCGAAGAAACACAAATTAGAGACAAAAAGCAGAGGCATGGATTAGAACAAACAAAAGGGGGGATTAACATTAAGATTACGGGTACGCACATGATGGAGCGGAGATTGAGGGTCTTGAGGAAGGGGAAATTGGGGGGCTGGGGGAACCCAGATCGGAAAATGCCGTCCTCGACCATGGAGAAGTTGGAGGGAGGAACAAGAACATCGTCGCCATCATCGTCCTTCACTTCCAGCCTCATTATCGACGAATTGATTGATTGATTGATTGATTGGTGAATCGATGAGCAAAGAAACAATCAAACAATCAAACAAAAACAAATGCAGAATCGGGGAAGGGAGGATGGGAAAATCTACGAAAACTTAGGGATCAGTGGGAATGAAAAATCTAATGTATTATAGGAAAAATCTTCCATTCAATTCCATGCGCAGATGGAAAGAGAGTTCTATGGAGGAGTGGAAAAGGAAACGGAGGCGATCGCGGTTTTAGAGAGGGAAGGAATACGACGTCGTTTTTGTGGGATTTGATTCTGATTCAAACTGCTTTTTTTCTTTTTTTCTTTTTTTTTTAAATCTCTTTTTTCGTTCAAATGAGAATTGCTTTTTTGAGATAATGGAGTTTTTTAGGTTTGAATCACTATTTTGGATTTATTTCCCCCAAAAAGGAAAAAAAAAACTAATTTTTCATTCCAATTCTTAAAATTTTTAAATATTATATTTCTTAGTCCTTCAAATTAATATTCAAAACAATTTTAGTATCTAAGATAATATTTTTTTATGTTTAAGTTGGCTACAAAAATAAGTATTTGAAGTTATATATGGTAGGTTAGATCCTTATTTAATTATGTTTGCTTCTCACAATTTCTTTTTATATTTATATATTCCACACGTTCGTGGAAAATACATTTGAAGTTTTAGCCACTTTTTTTATAATTTTTGTTGGGACTTATATTTTGAGAATGTTTTTAAATTTATATATTGAAATAGTGTTTATAAATTTAATTTAAAACAAAATATAAAAATAAAATGAATTTGAGACCTTAAATATTTATATTAGATAAGTAGTTAACCGATCAATAATGATTTAAAAGTTTTTTTTTTTAAACCATAGATAATGGGCGGGGTGAGTATTTGAATCTCTAACCTAAACTGTTAAGGTTTGCAGAAAGTATTTACAATTAATTTAGACATTAACTACAATTTAATAAATTAGTACATTTCTCTCTCCTCTGTTTTTTTTTTTTAACAAACTCTCTCCTCCCTTCTATTCTTTTAATAAGAACAAAAATATGGATAACATAATCTCATAATTTATAAGGTATTTTTATCTTTGATAATAATTACTCGGGTTATAAAAAGTGAACATTCACGAAACAATACATAGATTTTGTATATCCTTACTAAAACTATTTCAAAACCTATAAAATAAACGGGATAAAAAAAGTGTTGGATTAGATTAACGAGACAGACTAAGATAATTTTTAAAAGTTATTACAATAAATGGAATAAGTGTGAAATTTTGAGAATTAAAGAAATTTTAAATTTTGATTCAAATAATTAAGAATGCTTTTGAGTGCTAGTGGAAATTTAGGCTTTAATTTTCAAAATTATTTAATAATAAAATTGAAGAGGGAAAAAAGTGGTCAATGAGGATTAAAAAAGTGAAAGGGAAGTGGAATTTATGTCGTTTTGTCCTTTTTATTTTTATTATATAAATATGATTTCATTAGACCAAGTTGTGGACTTTTCTAACCATTTGATTTCAATTTTCAACCATACTATCTCCTATCAGAGTTTTTTAAAGAAAAATATTCCTATCACTAAAAAATGTGGCGTTTATATCAAACATAATTTAGTAGATAAAATATAATCTTTCGTCCAAGTATAATTTAAATATTTATATATTTTTTAAATTGTTGAACTGAAAAAATAAAAGAGAGAAATTACTAAAAAAATTAACAAGAATTTAAGTATTTTTATTTTTTAATTTGAAAAGCATTTTTAATTAACTAAAATCAGTTTTCACTTTTTATAAGTTGGGTCAATTATCTAATTGATAGACGATGTTGATCTAAAATTTTTAATTTTGAAGAATTAAACTTAGGTAAACTATTATTTCTTTTTATATTTATTACTTAATTAAGGCAGGTTGGATAACATTTTTGTTCTTTATTTTTCATTTTAAAAAAGAATCATGAATTTCGATTAAAATTTCAAAAGTTTTTTTGAAAAATGAAAAACCTAAACAAAGAAAATACAAATATGAAACGAAAGTTGACTTTTGAAAGGATAAAAAATACTTTTCAAAATAAGATAATTACAAGGAATCTTTAAAATTCTAAAAAAACTAACGGAAAAAGATTTGGATGTCTCCTACAAAACAGGTGCAGATACAAAATATCTGCACACAAATGTAGTGCTAATTCTAGCACACTTTGATGTCTAATTCAGACAAAAGTTCGTAGCTAGTAAACCGTGAAAAATGTATTTTGTATCTCAAGCCTCTGTTTGGGCGGTTCTGGTGGACCAATTCGATTGGATTGTGTTGGTTCAATCTGATCTGGTCGGTAGTCCAACTCGATCCACTTAGTTCGAGCTCACGTCTTTTTTAGGCTCATTTCAAGTGAAACTACTACGGTAGTTTCATTCCTAACAACTTTCATCTCATTTATGAACTGATTTTTTCCAATATTTGGAAAACAAAAACAATATTGATATCCAAGTGGTTAACAATTTTTTTTAATATTAAAAAGAAAAGAAGGTTTGAGTTAGTTGGGACTGGTCAAATATCGGTAACAAATAAATGAATAATTTTGAAAGAGTCCAAATCCAAATGCCAAGTCATTAACTTGAGGTTTAGGTTCGGATAACGAAGCTTCCTCAGGCACGTGCGGATTACCGAACCACAAAAATTCTAATTTTTAGCCACCATATAGGATTCTTTCTATTTTAATATATATATTTTTTGTTTTTTTGCAGTTGGTATTTGCCTTATTCAACCTCATTTTCAAACATACAATCCTTAATTATTTTTTTCCCCAATTTTTGTTTACTTTTCAAGGATGGCATGTAAAGATAGTAGTCGGTTTGACTCTATTGTTTAGTCGATTTAAGAAAAATGAAATATATTTATGATGTCGAAGTTATTGACCAACTTAATGTAAAAACTAAACCGAACCAATAGAAATTGACAAAGTTTATATCAATCAAATTGATCAAACTCTTTTTCAATTTTATATTTTATGAAATAGATCGATTTATCCTTCAAATCGTCTTAATAAGACTTATACTCCTAAAATTAAACTATTGAACCGGAGAAGTTTTAGGTCTCTTATTCTACATTTTATATAGAAAATATAGATGATAATAGAGACTAAATAATATTTGGAAGTTAAGGGAACAAAATATAATATACTGATGGGCCAAAATAAAATTTTAATATAATGTAAGAAATTTTATCATTTTTTTGCTAAAGTTAAAAAGTGATTTGATACATTTCTTCAAAAATTAAATTGATTTAAGTTTTAATCAGTGGTTTACATAATGGATAAAATAAAATAAATTAACTTTTAAGGGAAATTTTACATTTTTACCCGAGTTTTTAAATACGGATGTTGATAGAAATGTCAAGATCTCAATTTTATGTAAATATTGATGAAAATTGATAAAATGTCGATATAGATGAATATTTCTATAAAAGTTATAGAAATTAAAAAATTTCAAAAAAGATTTAAATTAACAAAATAATATTTTCATATTTCTAAATAGGGTAAAAAATAATTAATATTAATATTATATATATATTAGTGACATTTTGTTGATATTTTTTTGTCGATTTATCCTTCATGTCAATGTCAAACCCATGAAAATAGGGACATGTCGATGGAAATGTCGACGTGTTGACGGATTAAATAAGTCTTGCAATTTTCACCTTTTGAAACAAATGATACATTTGTTGGTAATCTCAAAATTCAATAACTATAGCAAAACTCAAACCTTAACAAACTAATGCGATCAAAGTGATCATAGATCAGTGGTTATGTCAAATTGACATATACTTTCAACCAAGAGATTGTTAGTTCGAATCTTTAATTTTAATAAAGGTTAAAATTCAGTTTTAGTGTTATCTTATCTCTGAAACCTCATCAATTCCCATAAAATTTAAGTTTTGAAATCTAATGGAACAAATAGGAGAATATTTATTTTTTTTAATGATTCCCTAAATGAATGTTTAAAAAGAAATAAAATTACAACACTTATTGAGAGTCTAAGATTCAATGAAAGTTAGTAAATGAAAATTTCCCTTTATTCTTTTAAATTTTTGTATAATTCTATCTATTTTAATTCAGTCATCAAATAAAAATGAGAAAATTATATTGGAGGACTAATAATATTATATATTTTAAAAAAAATGTCAATACTTTTATTTTTCACACAAATTTGACTTATTTCTTCTCAGGTCTTAGGCTTTTTTTTTTTCAACTCAAATCAAATTATGTTATTTATGTAAAATGCCAGACTTGTTGCTAGATTAATTTAAAAATACATATTTTTATTTTGTCATTTATATAATTGGCTCAATAAAAATAGAACAACAAACATAAGATTTTATATATATATACATGGCAAATTGTTTAGCTTGTCATGGCAAATTTTTTAGCTTGTCAACAACAAGAAATAAAAAAATTAAACTGACGTTTTTTTTTTTTGTGGAAAAACATGTTATTTGACTAAAATTTCAGCCAAATAAATAATTGACCCACCAACCCATTGAATTGTAATATTTCCTTCGCAACCATGTGATTTTCTTAACAGGGTTCGGACCAGTTATACGTGTACCTCAACTAATCTCGACAATCAATATTTAATTTTTACTACTTATCATGCATGTTATAAAAAAAATTATAAATTGATAAATTTTTACATTCTTTGAAGCAAAGAAAACAAGAGAACTAGACTTTTGTTTTGAAAAATTGTAGAGTGGTGTGAATGTTTCTTTTTTCAGTACAACAACTTAGGCATACGGGGGATTGAACCCCGACATTGAAAGGAGTATATATCTATTGTTGTTGAACTATGTTCACGTGGGCATGTTGTGAATATTTTTTAAAAATAGGGAAAAAAATATAGAATAATCATCCAATACATATATTTTAAAATTTTTAAAAATAAAAAACTAGAGACAATAAACAATATCAAAAAATAAAGAAATGGTCCAAATCTATATATTACTTAAATGACTAGAAAATTAAACCATAAAATATAAATAAATAAATATTAAATTAGCCCCAGGGGCAGTTCAGAGCTCAATTAATTAATAAATATATTGATAAAAAAGTTATAAGTTGGATCTCCATCCTACACATTGTGGAACTAAAAACAGATAAAAAAACAAAAAGTTATAGGGTTCATTGTAATTATACCATCCTTTTACGTGGCAAGAATTAATAAAGTTAAATTATAAATTTGGTCGCTAAA